ATGTGTTATGGAATGAATAATTCAAGTTGTTAAGGATAATACGCTATGTGCATTTTCCTTTCTTTTTTTTTGAGGTTTTTTTGGATTCAGAAATTACTTTGGAGACTGTCTTCACTTGGAGGTGGATTTTGAGATGTTGAATGACTTTGATATTTTGAAGGACTAATTTATTATTTTGGCATATTTCATAAGATTATCACACTTTTTGGGGTTTAAAGTGTTTATATGCATTTTGGGGAAGTTTGTGAATAAGGGAAGGGTACACCGTATTTGATTGTCATTATTTTGCACTAGGGGGGTTTATTTGTATTTATACTTGGGATACTAAGCATACTTCATAAGACACAGTAACTGCCCTTAGACACTGTGAGCTTCAGTAGCAGCTAATCCACACATCTCTAGTTTTATTACAGTGATTAAGTAGAACAGTTGAAGTAGGAGAACAAGCTGTTTAAAAAAAAAGTTAGTCATATAAAATTATTTTAGATTGCAAACCCAAGAAGAAAATAGGAAAATAAAAATAAATATATGTGTATATATATATATATATATATATAGGTTAACCAGCAATTAGTTATCTTAGTTCAAAACCTTTTTTTCTTTATCTTCACCTAGTGATTTGGCCAGTAACACATTTCTTGTCGTAGAATGACCATGCTCTGGAGGAGCAGTGTTGTCACCCTAGGCTGCTCACTCCTGAATTCTCATTATTTTCTCATCTGTATAACATGAGGAAGGGGCTAAAGTTCTTGAAGAAAAACTGGGCACAGTCAATAATCCTGTTTGAGATTTCAACACAGAAGATCACTGGGCTTATGGCAGAATCAGCAGGTTTTTTCTTTGAACTTATTGAACAAATAGAACAACATTCTTTAAATGGTATATCTGACAGACTGAAATGGAGCTAATAAGAGAAGTTGAATTACACATTAAGTTAAACACTGTAATAATAACAACTAAAAGTGTGTGCTCATACACTAGTCTTTAAAGAGGACCTTTTGTGCCAAAAAAGAATGCTAGGGGGCAAAGGCTAGTTCCCAGTATTGCATGTGATCTCTCTGCAGCTGATCTTGTTCCAGTTACTATCTTACCATGCCTTGTCTCTGTGTAGAGGTGGCCATCTTTGCAAGGGCAGACCTTTGCTTCCTAAAATAAGAGACTGTTGTCTGATAAATAGAGGGATAATATTCAAGAAGTAGCAAAAGAATTGAAGGAAGCACAATTCCTCTGGTTTTTAGGCACTACTTTTTCTCCAGCAAACCCTTAGGAGAACAATGAGTGGCACACACCAAACCACACTCTAAATCTTCGGAGACCATCAGTTACAAGCACAATGCTCAAGATCTCACACATGAAACTAGGAGGCTTTATGCTCAGATGTGCCTAGGCACAGTTATGTCCGGAAGTGCATTTTTTATAGAATGGATTCAAGACAAAAGGTGAACATTTCAAGGTACTTCTTAGGTACTAGTAATATTTTTAGATGCACTCTATAAGATCTCCACTTGCTTTCAGGTCCAAGTAAGTGGTGAAAAATGGTGTGTATCATGATATAGTATGTTGTAAAATATACTAAAAAAAACCTAAAAAATTCTTCCTGCGCCTAGTGAAACACTCTACTACAGGTTCTATCCTGCTGCTGTGCACTGTGATCAACACAAATAATGAAAAAAAGAGAAAAACAGCGCAAACATAGACCTCTAAATAAAATCAATATACAAAGTGCAAACATAAATGAAAAATTGATCAATAGTGAAGTCCATCAAGATAAACCAAAGTTCAAAAAATATCAAAAAATATATTTGTGCAAAAAGAAATATTTTTCAAATTCTTCTTCTATTATAAAGGAACTTCCACCTTCCACCCGTGAAAACCAATATCAAATGCACTCAAACAGATATAGGTGAATAAAAACGCCTCTTAGGAATTTATGGGATCCTAAACCCTCTTTCGTATCCACTCTATAGGAATCCTCCTCTCCAGCATAGGCTCCACCATCCGACCCGGGAGAAAAAAGTCTCAGATAGTGTAATATTGTAAGACACCATTCATAAGTGAAATCAAGGATTAAGGCCACTCACATTAAATTCACTTTAAAAAGGCATATTTATTAGGACCAGCTTCTTTCAGATGAACAGTAGATGCAGGCAACCTCCCACGGAATCTCACATCACAGCTCCAGGTTACAGCAGAAGCTCTACAGAGACACCGCATATACAGATCCCAAAAGATGGCCTCTGGAACGCACCGCTCAGCGTGCGCTCCACTCACCGGAAGTGACGTCAGACGTACGGAATAGAAACCGGAAATGCGTCAACGCGTTTCGCCCCTCCCATCGGGCGTTCTCAAGACCTTGCCCGATGGGGAGGGGCAAACGCGTTGACGCATTTCCGGTTTCTATTCCGTACGTCTGACGTCACTTCCGGTGAGTGGAGCGCACGCTGAGCGGTGCGTTCCAGAGGCCATCTTTTGGGATCTGTATATGCGGTGTCTCTGTAGAGCTTCTGCTGTAACCTGGAGCTGTGATGTGAGATTCCGTGGGAGGTTGCCTTGCATCTACTGTTCATCTGAAAGAAGCTGGTCCTAATAAATATGCCTTTTTAAAGTGAATTTAATGTGAGTGGCCTTAATCCTTGATTTCACTTATGAATGGTGTCTTACAATATTACACTATCTGAGACTTTTTTCTCCCGGGTCGGATGGTGGAGCCTATGCTGGAGAGGAGGATTCCTATAGAGTGGATACGAAAGAGGGTTTAGGATCCCATAAATTCCTAAGAGGCGTTTTATTCACCTATATCTGTTTGAGTGCATTTGATATTGGTTTTCACGGGTGGAAGGTGGAAGTTCCTTTATAATAGAAGAAGAATTTGAAAAATATTTCTTTTTGCACAAAATATATTTTTTGATATTTTTTGAACTTTGGTTTATCTTGATGGACTTCACTATTGATCAATTTTTCATTTATGTTTGCACTTTGTATATTGATTTTATTTAGAGGTCTATGTTTGCGCTGTTTTTCTCTATTTTGTAAAATATACTAGTCTAATATATTTATGCTGTCTCCAGAGTCTCTGAAATCAGAAATGGGTGCAAGGTATAAGACTTAAACTGATACTAAATGAAAAAAAAACAAAACAAGTTATACCTACCTTTTGCACAAGGCAGCCTTTATCCTCCTCTTCTTAGGACCCCAATCTGGGGTTATCCCCCCTTTCGAGTACCCCTGTTTGTAATTGACAGCAGCAGGAGCCAATAAGGAGAGAGAGAGAGCCAGGAGAGCAGCAAATCACTGGATTGAAATCAGGCTCATGTAAGTATTCAGGGGGCTGGGGGGGGGGGGGGGGAATCTGCACACAAAAGGTTTGTTACCTTACGACATAGGATGCGTGAAGGTAATTTTTTTATACTGTAGGAATTTGCCAAACTCATTAAACATACACACCCTGGTATTTAGTGTGACGTCTGCTTTAAACTAAAGATTTAGAAAATGGACAAATTATAGACATCAACTAGAATACTGGTACCTCTTACTCTTCTCTGTGTGAAAGATTTTTCTTACAAAAATCCATCTATTTGCTATTAGTAAGGCTGTCAATTGATTGTCAAAAGGCTGTCAATTGGCTTCTATTGGTAAGGCTGTTAATTACATAATTTCTTTATCTCACTTGTCATTTAATTTGCCATATAATGATTAATTATTATGTGGTTATTGATACCTGTGTTTCTGTGGCTGTACACATTTATTAGATGAAACAGCCCTGCTGTATGAGAAGCTCCATCTACAAGTCCATGTAACACTACCCTATGCTGCTATCCAAGGATGTGTTCATTGCTCCTCCATACCGATGGGAGATACCTAAGACAAGAAGTGTGCTACTGGCTGGATCACCTGATGAAAATATAGAAAAAAAACAGAGTACTAATACAGCCACAACATCTAAATACTGAAAAGCTGTAATATGGTATCTCTTTGTTTTTGGGTTTAGATATGTTCTAATCCTCTAACCATGTGAATATGTGTGGACGAAAGTGGGCTTTTATCAATGGGGCCGCATATATGCGTATCTGTCTTTGTGGTTGGAGAAAACAATACAACACACTCCCAGCACAGAGCCCGTCTTCTAACTAACGGACTCAGGACTCAGGACTCCCAGGTCCAGGTTACCTGATCTCTGTGATAGCCTCTGACTGGCTATCACAATGATCAGTCACTGTACATCCGCCAATGTGTCAGGCATTGACATTTGTTTTAACCTTCATCACTATGGGGTTAAGGAGTACAAGAGCTTTGTGAAGGAAAAATAGTTTAGACATGTTTTTTTATAACTATGTATTTTAAGAGGACCTATATTTAAAGAGTGACTCCATTTTCATGGACAAAATATAGCAAATAAAAAAATATATATAGCATATACACTCACCGGCCTTATTATTAGGTACGCCTTTTCAGTTGCTTGGTAACACAAATTGCTAAATCAGCCAATCACATGGCAGCAACACAATTAATTTAGGCATCTAGACTTGCAGAAGACGACTTGCTGAACTACAAACCAAGCATCAGAATGGGGAAGAAAGCAGATTTAAGTGTCTTTGAATGTGACTTGGTTGTTTGTGCCAGAGAAAATATCCAGTGAGCGGCAGTTGTGTGGATGAAAATGCCTTTTTGATGTCAGGGGAGAATGGGCAGACTGGTTCAAGATGATAGAAAGCCAACAGTAATTAAAATAACCACTCATTACAACCAGGATATGCAGAATACCATCTCTAAACGCACAACACATCGAACCTTGAAGCAGATGGGCTACAGCAGCAGAAGAGCACACTGTGTGCCACTCCCGTCAGCTAAGAACAGGAAACAGAGGCTACAATTCACACAGGTTCACCAAAATTGGACAATAGAAGATTGGAAAAATGCTGCCTGGTTTGATGAGTCTCAGCTGTGACATTCAAATGGTAGGGTCAGAATTTGGCATAAACAACATGAAAGCATGGATCCATTCTGCCTTGTATCAATTGTTCAGGCTGGTGGTGGTGGTGTAATGGTGTGGAGGCAGGGGCGGACTGACCATATGGAAACCCGGGCACTGCCCGAGGGCCCAGGGTCATTAGGGGGCCCCATGAGATGCCCCTGGTACCTTTTTCATAGGCTTTTTTGAGTTTGGGGAAGGACACAGGGGCCCCATGATCCCTTATTGCCCGGGGGGCCCCATGAGTTGTCAGTCCGCCCCTGTGTGAGGGATATTTTCTTGGCACACTTTAAGCCCCTTAGTACCAACTGAGCATTGTTTAAAGGCCTTTCTAACTATTGTTGTGGACTATGTCCACCCCTTTATGACCACAGTGTACCCATCTTCTGATGGGTGCTTACAGGAGGATAAAACACCATGTCACAAAGCTCAAATCATCTCAGACTAGTTTCTTGAACATGACAATGAGTTCACTGTACTCCACTGGCCTCCACAGTTACCAGATCTCAATCCAATAGAGCACCTTTGGGATGCGAAGGAACGGGAGATTCGCATTATGGATGTGCAGCCGACAATTCTGCAGTGCAAGTGGTTAAAAGGCTAAAAATAGAACTTATTCTCACCGGCAACTTTATTAGGTACACCATGCTAGTACCGGGTTGGATCCTGTTTTGCCTTCAGAAGTTCCTTAGTTCTTCGTCGCATAGATTCAACAAGGTGTTGGAAACATTCCTCAGAGATTTTGTTCCATATTGACATGAGTTACTGTTGCTTTTCTATAATCTCGAACCAGTCGGCCCATTATCCTCTGACCTCTGACATCAACAAGGCATTTTCGTCCACACAACTGCCACTCACTGGATATTTTCTCTTTTTTGGACCATTCTCTGTAAACCCTAGAGATGGTTGTTTGTGAAAATCCCAGTAGATCCGCAGTTTTTGAAATACTCCGACCATTGTGTCTGGCACCAACAACCATGCCATGTTCAAAGTCACTTAAATCCTCTTTCTTCCCCATTCTGATGCTCGGTTTGAACTTTAGCAAGTTGTCTTCACCACGTCTAGATGCCTAAATGCATTGAATTGCTGCCATGTGATTGGATGATTAGCAATTTATGTTACTAAGCAATTGAACAGGTGTACCTGATAAAGTGGCTGGTGACTGTATATATACTGTGTATAATCTATATTATTCAGTATATACATACTGAACTTAGTAAGTATGTTTTGCTTTGGAATATATACTCCAGTTTCTGAATGTACACTGGATAATCCATAGTGTATGCAGTTCAATGCTTAGAGAGCCATTCACATTCATGTAAAACATTGACACATGCCTTAGTGCACTTTACCAGAACAGAAGGTCCATCATGAAGAATGCATTGGATGTTTAACTCTCACAACAATAAGGATCACACCATTCACAATACACATTAGTGTAAGTTTAGGGATATCATTATTGATATGTGCGCATACATCTGCACATTTAAGTAAGTCCACAGAGCAAATGCACCATAGCATTTTCTATAGTAAATCAGTCTCAGAAATGTATTTACTGTTGCTGCATTAGCTATTTTCTGCTACAAGATGGCGCTATTATGCCACTTATAAATACAAGAAAGTTTCTCAAATTGAGTAGAGGTTGCTGAATGCATGTAGTCAGTTCATGGAATCTGAAGTTGAAGTCAATGCGGAAAAATACGTGTTTTTTTTTTTAACCTCTTGAGGGTAACTAGAGTGGTCAAATGCAACATATAGCATGGGAAGGCCACCAAATGACTGATATGCATGTTGCTATTTAAAAACAAAAAAGTAAAAATGTGTACAGTGGAGGGCGGGGGGGGGGGGGGGGGGGGGGGACTTTATGGAACTTTGAGGGCAAACATGTGAAAGATAAAAAAAATAGATGCAGTTTAAATAAAACCGTGACATTGTATGTTCATACAATCCAGCAGCAATGGACCAAAACATATGTAGCATATTTTTAAAATACCTTTATTTGCATACATCACCAGCAAGCGGGCGAGCGGTTTTTTTAGGCCCTGATCCCAATCCATCGATGTGCATAAGAGCAGAGACTCTCTCCCTCCTCATTGGCTCAGGCACAGCAGCGGGAGCAGCTCCTGTTGCTACCGATCACAGCCACTGAGGAGGGAGCAGGGCAGGACCAGGCTATTCTATGTGTGTCTTATAGGCACACGGAGCAAAGCATTAGGGGGTGGGAGGAGACAGCAGAGCCAGAAAGGACCCAAGGAGGAGGATTTGGACTGCTCTGTGTAAAACCATTGCACAGATCAAATAAGTTTAATATTATTTTTATTAATTTTAAAAAAAAAAATGCCTTTACAATCACTTTAACTCACTGCCACTTTATTAAGAACACCTTGCTAGTGCCAAGAAAATATCTCCCACAGCATTACACCACCAGCACCAGCCTGAATCGTTGATACAAGGCAGGATGGATCCATGGTTTCATGTTGTTTACGCCAAATCTGACCATCTGAATGTCGCAGCAACCATTCTGCCCATTTTCCTCTGAGCTCTGACATCAACAAAGCATTTTCACCCACACAACTACTGCTCACTGGATATTTTCTCTTTTTGGACCATTCTCTGTAAACCCTAGAGATGGTTGTGCGTGAAAATTCCAGTAGATCAGCAGTTTTTTAAATACTCAGACCAGCCCATCTGCCACCAATTTGCAACGTTCAAAGTCACATATAGGATAAATTCACCTTTTGATAAAAAAAATAATAAATGCACATTGCTTTGCAGATAAAAAAAATGTGCATTTATTATTCTTTGCTGCAGGAGCCTGTAAAGCATTGCACCAGCAATCAGCAGATCGCTGGTGCCATGCAGGTCTCCTGCAGATCTATCAGTTTACCTAATAAGGTGGCCGGTGAGTGTAGTTTGGCTCTTTGGAGCTGCATGGTTCCCAGACTCTCCCACTCTTACCAGGAGCCCAGGACAACATCCATCCACTTCAGGAGGGCAAACAGGAGGAGACCGAGCAACATCTGTTCCTCAATTTCCTCTGCACTGAATGAACCCAGAAGCAGCGATGACTGTTTCTCCCAATTTCAGAGTCTCCATTTACTGGCCGGTACAGCACGTGGAGCATCTAACCAAGCAGATCTCTACTAGATACTGTAGATGCTGCTTTGGTGGACAGGGGAGATATTGGGGTCTATTAGACCCCCAATGTCTCCTTAAAGAGTACCTGTTCTATTCTACAGGGTCTCTGCTTTTGCAAACTGTATAAGCTGTACATCGGCCTGCTCCCCAAAAACTTTTTAGTTCAACATTTTTAGCTGGCAAAAATGTTGTTTTCTCAGCAGCTGTAAGAAGGATAGCAAGCTGAAAGTAGATATGGACTTCACAGTAGGCATCTGTCAAGATAATCAAAAATTAAAGCGTCAGCCCTCTGGGGTTGAGGATTAAAAAGTACCATGTGGCACCTCATTTGCATTGCATGGCTTTACAAAACACAAATAGCTGTCTGGGTAACAAGAAATTAGAAAGTCAGCCATTGGTTATATGAGTATATTTTTTCAATTAACCTGTGGTACCACATTTGGGCAGCAATGCCAACAAGCTAAACAACCTTTGGAGGGAGTTTCCCCAAAATTTTGCCAGGTATAAAGTCCTTGGAAGGAAAGCTCCTGAAAAAATAGTCAGGGTTTAGAGAAGAGGCTGAAGGACCTTGCAGGGGTCATCCTAAAAATAAGAGAACAGCACCACAAAACCTGATGTCTTTATGCCAGGTTGTTTTCTGTCAGGGTCCTGTCCATGGCAGAATTTCTGGAAGATCTGGCATTTCTGCAGTACTCTGCATGGCCGCAAAAGTACACATCAGCCTCAGTTTGGTGCCAGACGGCCTTTATAAGGAGGCTCATCACTTCCTCAAGTTTCTGGATGATCTCTAGCTGCCCATGCCCTGTTCCTGTGATTTTGACCTGTGATTTCCTGTTACCGACTCGGCTTGCTCCTGGACCTGTCTACTCTGCTTTACCCCTGATATGACCTCGGCTTGGCTTACGGATACTCTCTCTCGCTCCTCTGTGTATGACCTCGGCTATCCTATCTGCCTACGTCTGCTCTGATTCCCACCTGGTACCTGACCTTGGCTTGAACTGACTACCTAGTAAACATCTAAATTCCGGAAGGGCTTACATACCACGCACAGGCGCCTCCTGTCTGCAGACCTATCTCCGTGCACCAGCTGTGCTTCTGAGTGGACCACCAACCAGCACTCCGACAGGCGACTTGTGCAACTTTTGGGCCAGACTCCCACTGTCCCACTCTCAGGGAAGTCCGGAACTTAGTGCAAGGGAAACCCTCTCTCCATTGGCCTCCATCACCAGGTACGTGATATTTTCTCTCCACATAAGATGTGATGTCCTTGCTCATCCATTGACCACTGATTGGCTGCTGTGGAGGCCCAGGACATTATGTTATAGACTGAAACATTTACTATGAATATCGCGGTTGTTCAGTTTGAGTGTTCCCAAAATGACTATGTGATAATCAGGGAGAATTTCACTTTTACCCAAACATGATCAGCAACACTATAACTGTAGTACCTATGTATGCATGTAAAAACATATGCTTGATTTCAAACACAAATTCCCCCCTGATTCATGTACACATTTGTGAGCATCAACATGATGCCACATTGAGTGCAATGTAATTTGTTTGGGGAACATTTTCTCATGCAACTATTTCAAATACTCAAATGCCAAAACATACTCAAAGTAATACCAAAGTGGAGAATGTGCTTGGAGGGTGACCATCAGCCTCTGACTGATTCAAGTAGGCAAGACAGTTGTCAGGAACCATGGTAAGCAGGGGTATCCTGCATTACCTAAAAATGAATCACACTATAAAATAGAATACTATTTGGAACACGGTTATACATTTTACTTACCAGCATTTTCTAATGGGCATAAAGTCATTGCCTACTTTCACATTCTGGTACTGGAAGCAGGGCTGGATTTCTGCAAAACCAACATAGGCAGATGTCCATGCATTGGGCAGCATGCAATCAACTGCATACTGTGTTGTTAACCATTTCCATACCGGGCACTTTTACCCCCTTCCCTCCCAGGCCATTTTTCAGGTTTCAGCTCTCTCACACTTTCAATGACAATTGCGCAGTCATACAACATTGTACCCAAACTAAAATTTTATCATTTTCTTCACACAACTAGAGCTTTCTTTTGATGGTATTTAATCACC